AAAGAAACGAAACGGGGACGAAGAACGAAAACTGGGTGAAAAAATGATACCAGGGCGACGACCCGTGCGCTGGGTCGGAGCGAAAGTTCCAACATTTTCGATCCGCGCTGGTAATTAATTTAAGTGGCTCGCTGCTACTTCGTCGCGTAACTTCTTCCCCGGGACAAAGATCGGCGACGATCGTTTTAGACGAATCGCGGCCGGACCATCGGAGCCGAACTTCACGCTTTCTCAGATCGGTCTCTCGCGCGAATATTCAGGTTCTCCGAGAACAGCTCGCTTTGACCGATAGTCGTGCACGTTGGCACACCGGTCACGCGCATCTTTTTTCGCATGATTTATTCAAAACAGCCAGACCCGTGCAATCTGCGATCGTTAGTTCCATCACGTTGTAAACGTTCGATCAAAGTTTGTAGATCGAACGCTCGCGGACAAGCTTTCGCCTTACGTGACCGAAGATTTTGTTTCGTCTCAGTTGCTGCGACTCATCCCCCAAGAAAACGAATAAGATCAGTTCCGTTTTTTGAACAGTTTTCGGCAAGTGTCTTTAAAAACGTAGATTTTTAAGTTTGATCCAGAACGGCGCGCGCAAATCTCCCTTCAATGTTGCACGATTTCTGGAAAATGAATCGAAAACTCGGTAGAGGGGGGTGGTCTTGTTTGTGCGTTTGTTTCTCGGAAAGAAATAGAATTCGTGCGTTTATCCTTTGCAGGAAAGTCGGCGAGGTCTGTCGAGTCGCGGCCAAGAAATCGAGTTTCAACGAAGGATATAGTAGGATGGATATATAGCATAATACGTCGGTGGATCGCGTAACGAATCGCGATAACGCCGGCGTGTTTCGTTCGCGGAACGACTGTTGATCGATCGAGAGAGATTTTTGCTCGGAAGCTTGATCGAGTGAAATAACGCATTGGAGTTGTCTGGGAAAATGTCAAGGCCTCCTTTCCATTCGTCGCGAAACGCTTTTTGTTGTGCGCCACACCGCCGTCGATCGTTTGACCGTAAAAAAAAAAAAAAAACAAAAAAAAACAAAACGTGGAAAAAAGAAGAAAAAGAAATCGAACGACAAATGTCGCGGCGATTGTCTGCTAATGCGTCGATCGTAAATCCATCGATTTCGTTCGCCGCGATGTCGACGAGCCTAGTACCAGTTGTGACACGGCCGTTTATTTAATTATGCAAATGGAGAACAGTTCGTCGCAATGTTCGGCACACGCTTCTGCTCGAGAAAGAAAAACAAAAAAAAAGGAAAAAAGTAACAAGACTGCCAGCCTGTGACTTCTCTAACGTTTCATCGATCATGTTGCATCGATGAAACCTAATTGCACGATAGGAATTAATTATGCCTGTGTAGAGACAATCGGAGGGACGACTTGGTCTGACGAATCGCTAACTAATGGTATAACCTGTTTATAATATTGTTTCCGCAGATCGAATATACACAGGTTCCTGGTATTCGCAATGGAAGTAATTAATCAACTTACGACTGCTCATTTTGAATTTAAATCGATAGGTCGAAACATATCGAAATCCCTTCTGAATTGCACTATCTATCAGATTGCAATTTTCAAAATTTCAATTGACAATCGACGAGACTCTGGCACGCTAAGGTGTAAGGTAAAAATGGAGAATGATGTGACTTCAATTAGAACGAGTTTATCGATCTCCACTCAAGGGGATGATATACTTCCGATCGATTGGAAATTACCTGACGTCTATTTCAATACGAAAATATCCCGCTCGCGCAACAATTCGGACGCCTTGAAATGCAACGGGACGTCGTCTCGAACCGATATTCAGAAACATTGGCCCCTAGAATTCCGTTTTAATTCAACGATTTCCTCCGCATGATTCATCGATCGTTTGGAGGGCGCGTAAACGCGCAGAGAGACGTCTCGGCGTGAACGAACAATAGGGTGTGCAAGTACCTGAAGAAATCCTCTCTGCAGAACAGCTTCGCTTCCCTGGAGAAACACTTGTCCTGCAACGTGGTTCTGCAATCGAAGCAGCGGACACACTCGACGTGCCATGCTCGGTCCAAAACATTCAGCAGGTACTGATCCATAATTGGTTTCTCGCATCCTGCACATGACAGGAGCATCGCCAGACCACGTCTCCCTGCTTCGAAAAGAAAGAGAGCATCTGTGAATACAGAGGATTTAACGAGATCGGTTAACGCAGTGAAATC